TGAAGTTTGAAAACACAATCCTTTCTGCCTTACACAAATGTTTTGTGCAACCAAACTGGATCCAATGATTCATCTGGGTTTTGCAGAGATGTAATTATTTATTATGCTTATATGTTGCCCAGTGCAAATCCTACCAAGACCTTTAAGCACCACTACAACACCTTATTAAATTATTCAAGATTCCCCATTTCTACGCTAGTTCCAGCTGTCTCACAGGGTATTTTGACTTAATAGGCTCCTCAAATCAACTGACATCTGCTCATAAGAGAGCATTCTAAATGACAGAAATTATGCTAATTTATTTAGGAAGCAGACACCTGTTTCTGCAATGTCCTTGACCAATTAAAAACCCTTAATGAATTCACAGGATTACAGATCACTCAACAAAACATATTATTTGGGTCTCGGGTAAAGAATTCCTAAAATGAAGTCCAAAAGCTTACTTTTTGGGCATCTTCATGTCTTTCAAAACTAACGAAGCCGAAGCCTTTGGATTTTCCACTCTCATCGGTCATAACTTTCACACTTAGGGCAGGACCTGAAAAGAGAATTAAATACTTGTGCTCTGCATACAGAGTGTATTCTCCTCACCTTTTGAACATCCTGCTTAGAAGTCTTTTAATATTTACTTTATTTCACTTGTATTACAAAGTAAATAGCATTTAGCAAGTAAATAGCATTTAGCAAACAGCACCCATCAATATAAAATTCCTAATTTGCCTGACGCTGCACTTCAGCCATGGTGAGTGAAGTCTGCCACCCTGAATTTCTTTCCTACTGTGTTTTAAACCAAAATGGGGTAGGAATTTTACCTCTACATGAAGTTGGTTGTCATTAAAAATTACAACATTTAAAAAGCATTAGTGCTTCCAATCCTCTGAAACAGATACTGAAAGCTGAAGAAGAGGCCTTTCTGCCAGGTATGTGCTTCCCCATTTATTCTGGTGAAACACTATTCCAGTTCAGCAATTCCAAATTGTTGAAAAATTGCATTTCACAGACTAAATTGTGACAGGCATTAGCAGCTAAATTTACTACCACTTCAAGCACAGACACTTCAATAGTGGAAAGGAATTTCCTGTAAATGCTGCTTAGGGCTGCTATAGAACATCTCATATAAAGGCTTTCCCTTGCTTTACTTGATATCCACTGGAGAACAGCAAAAGCATGGGAGAAAGAAAATATGAAAATTAAAAAAAAAAAAGCTGAGGCTGAAAATCAATGTACCCTATAAACCAGTATAAGAATTTGGAACTGAATTAAGGAGTTTGCCATTTCCTGTTTTGGTGGTGACACATCATACACGTTACTAGATCATGATCATATGCCTGCCATAATTTTGCCCTACGCAGAACTGAGGATCAAGACAGAACCAAATAGCTTGCAATGGAAAAGTTCCTTACAATTTCATATTAGGATAACCACCACAAAGCAATTAACAAAAGCAGAGATACTCTGAGTAAAAGTAAGTCTGCAGGTCAACAAAAGCAATAGCAAACTTATTTCAGATTATTGGGCACAATTCTGATGGCAGGATTATACATGCTATTCTGCATGTTTAAAATTCTGCAGTGGCTATTACTGCCCTTTGAAATTGGAATTAAGTACCAACGGCCAGCTGATTCCTTTATTATAAAGCACCGTATGGATAAAATAGAAGCTGAAGTTCACTCGTGTTTATATAAAGTTTAAGACATTACCAAACTTGCCAAAGAGTTCCTTAAGTCTCTCATCGTCCATGTCTTCTCCAAAATTCTTGATGTAAACATTGGTGAATTCCTTTGCTCTGGCTCCAAGCTCTGCCTCACGTTCCTTGCGTGATTTAAACCTTCCAACAAATCTGGTTACAGAAGAGAATAGTGTAGATTAAAGCATGTCTGTCAAGGTTCAGAAATTTACTTCAATCCTCTGACATCAATATTTTAATCTTAATAGGTCTCATTGTTCATTATTGGCATGAAATTCTTTAGATAAAATATTTACGATAAAACTTCATCAGAAAACCAGTATCACCATCAGTTGCATATGGCAGTTATTAGCATAAAAATGCTTCCAAGCCATTGGCAAAATTGTTTACTCTTACAAAACAGCTTTTGATAACAGGAGCTGGACAATGGGTGGCTAAAGTGTCTAAACAGAAATTCTAGATATCAGCATAATCCCTCTGACATACTAAAAACTTGTCAGCCTTAAAGTAGTTGCCATTCTTTGATCCACCAGTTTTTAAGCAAAGGGTATTTCCAGCCTCTATCAAAACAAGATTTTTGTTTGTTTGGGGGCTGTTTTGTTTTTTGTAAATAGGCACAGGTAAATAGCAAACTGGCTGCAAACACCAAAGGTCAGTTTATACAGAGAAAGCCAGAAGGTGAACTCAATACTCTGCAACCCAAGGAACTGCTCCAGCACAGACATTACACAGCTAACACTTGATTCCTGACTGTAGTAGCCTTCTGCTCAAATTTTCTTGTATTGTCCAACTTTACAGTTCCAAATCTGACAAATCCAATGAAATAGCACACAGTAACTCAACATTTTCTTAAACTTTGACAACTTTGCCCCATTTACAGTAACCAAGGATGGCAAGAATGACAGTGCAATGCGGTGCAGCTGATTTTGATAGCGAAATACTTTCACTTTTAAAAGCCTAGCCTGAATAGAAATTCAAAGCAAAATTAGTTCTCGTGATGCAATTTACCAAAGTTTACATAAATCATGTGCTTTTACAACTACATGCTGACTTTTTTTTACTGATTTAAAAAGGTTTAAATTCTATTTAAAGATAGAATTTGAATAAAACCATCCACAGTATGCCAGTCAAGCACAGAACAAACAGGAAAAACTCTATATTCTCCCTGTATATGGCTTGATCTATCCGTCTCTACATGCAGAAGTAATCCATGATGGTAAGCTGATGCTGATTTCTGTTAGCCTTTTTCCAAACCCTCCCAAGTATTTCCAGAGCTATTTTGCTACTATACCAAATACCAGAATGATCCCTTAGGCATAGCTGTGAGGCACACTCGTCCCCCTACCCGCAAGCCTAGGTATCACTAACCAAGTAGCAAATACCTTCCCCCTCAGTATAGAACAGTGATAATGTTTAAAACATTGTGTTTCTGTAAGGTTTATTTTCTACTCCTATTCCCTAGATATGCCTATGAACAGACATTCATATAAATACATTAGTGTAATCCAACCACTATCCAGGACTAAATAACTCTAGAGCTTTAAATTTAATCCAAAAAACGGATCTTGTATCTATTTCACAACTCTTATAAAGGAAGCATTATTCATAATACCCAATGGATTGTATTTTATCTCAGACCAGTAAGATCAGAAAACCAGAGAAGTTTCCAAATCCTCATTACAGCATTGGCTTGACAAACAATTTTTTTAGTCTGCCTTTAGAATAGACAGGTGATACAATTCATAGTATTCCTAGCACTACAATTCTAAATTTTCTTCAAAATTAGAGATTTTCAGAACAGCCTGTCTTTTCTAGGTGAGCTTTAAGTATTTATCTGCTGTAAAGTGAATTTCAGTCTGTTGATCCCCAGCTATGTATGTATGTACTTACACTTTGCGGTCATTAAGCAGCATACCATTCATTTTTTCAATAGCTCTTTCTGCAGCTTCTTGTGTCTCAAAATGTACAAATCCATAACCCTTGGATCCATTTTCGTCACATACCACCTATCAAAGAGAAAACCTGTTGTAATATCCATGGAAAGTTTCCAGCATAAACTTGAGGTTTTTTGAGTGAAACCATTAAACACAGCAATAATTTTCCACTCACCTTACAAGACAGGATGTTTCCAAAAGCAGAAAATGTGTCATACAAAGCTTTGTTATCAATTGATTTGTCCAAGTTTTTGATGAAGATGTTTCCTACACCACTTTTGCGTAGAGATGGATCACGCTGAGACCACATGATGCGCACTGGTTTGCCTTTAATGACATCAAAGTTCATGGTATCCAAAGCTCGTTCAGCTGGAAAAACATCATGGAATTAGTAGGAAACACTCAAGTTATCTTAATGAGCACAAAAATACCATTTGAAATACAATTCTTCATAAATCTTTTACTATTTTAAGTCAAGCACCACCATCGAGATGCAAACCCAAACCCTCCAATGTAACTATGCCCCATCGTCTTAAGCAAATAAAAACTGGGAAAAACTCCTCAGCAAAAGCTGCTCTCAGGACAGGAAGGAGTACACGTCAGCTAAACAAGCAGTAGAAATCCCAATAAGCCCAAAGGATCAGACTCAACTATTAAAAGACAGTATGGTGACAGGAGAAAATGTACTGAGTGATGGCAATGACGACCTGTTCCATAAGAAGTTTAAACATTTATCTCTGGAAAACAGCTGGCCACTCATACACCACACAGACGTGTTATCATATCAATAACCAATGCTTTTAGGAGTATGGCTGGCGCCTACGTGAGGCCTTTTGCAAACATTAATATAAGAACTCCTAAATCACCAATAACCCTAAACTGACAAAATATCTTTGCTAGGCAGTGTTCAAGCCTGGTTCAGGCAGCCGTACGACATAACTCCTTCCTTAGTGACAAAAAAAACATCTGTGATGGACTTCTGGGCAAGGGACAGTTCAAAGAGCTTTAAAACTCATGCTCAATTTCAAAAATCTGAAATAATATGTATGTTAAAAGCTATGATGAAATACATACAAGCTCAGTGAAGGAGCAAGCATTAAAACAGCAAAACTGTAAACCAGGTTTTGTTACTCTTACTAAGCAGTTTTTACAGTAGAACTCCATAACTAACTTTTCAAATCCTGAATTTAAGATCTTAGTGTATTTAGATAGGAAGTATGAAGAGTTGTTCTGCTTTCATATGCCCCTTCAAAGCAGCAAGGCATGCCTGTAAGGTTTTACGTCAACAAGCTATTAAGCAATGATCTCCTACGTTAACTCCTTTTCATCATTCTTCCCCTATATCTGGAAGAACACTGAAAAAGTCCCAATAAATACCTGAAGTCACACCTAAGTCACTTCACTGCAATTTGCATATAGCAGAGCAATGTGATGTTAACAAGACTGAAATCAGTTTAGTATTAGTTTAAAAACCGTATCATTAATTGCTTTTCTTAGAAAGACCAGGTGACAATCACATTGTGGAAACCCCTATTTTATCTTTTTGCTCTTTAAGTGCTGCTTTTATCTTTAGCTACTTTGTCGGATGTCATGGCCAAACAAGATCTGCCATCAGCCTCTGGTCCAGGTGGCACATCCCACTTTACATCCTTTCCTGCCACGTTTTCAGATTACAAGTGAATTTGAAGCTCATTCTCTGAAAGACACCTGTAGAAATTAACAAAACAAACATCTAACATTTGTTTGTGGGGAAAAAAAATATCTGTTGAGACTATTACCATATTCACACATCAATAGCAAGTCAACAACTGATTTAAGTTGAAGCCACAAAAAAATGTAAGCATTGCCACTCTTTCAAGTAAGTTAACAAAGCTTTCACAAACTTTAACATAAATCAAGCAGGAGGGAAATGACAACTTACTTACTGATAATGACAAACAAAAAGCATTGGAAGACTTTACATTACAAATGGGGGAAAGAAAACCCAAACAAAAAGATGGCCAAAAAAGTAAGAACTGTGGATAATCAGGCTGGCCACAGTAGAAACATTGAACACAGTGGTATTGCCCTGGAAGTCATTAGAATTATTACTGCCGGCACCTATAAAAATGCCAGCAACAAACAGTTCATTATTTCCAGAAGCAGTTACAGGGCTTCCTTTACTAGAAAAGAGGCTTTTCTAATTCATACTAATTGCTTCTAGAATAATCCTGATACTCCCCAAAAATGTGTGTTCCCTGGACACATTTCCCAAACATCTGACTCAAAGCAGGTCCATCCCAGCCTTCACAAGCATTGCCACTCTCAACTAGTAGTGAGTGTGCATTTAGACCAGTGCAATTCCTCCACAAAGACAAGGACAGCATGGAAACTCTTAACAGCTCTCCTTACCTCTTCTGTGGAGCAGAAGTACAAGTTTAAAGATTTCTGCTTAACCAACATGACACTGTCATTCCACATTAGATTTTAAAGCATTACTGGAATACATCTGCCAACAGGTAGGAGCCAGTCTCATTAAAATTCACAACTAGTAGAACTGGCTTACTTTCATAGCAGTTCAGCCAGGAAAGGCTGAGCACTGGTTTCAGGAGGCAACTCCATTCAGCAGTTAACTTGTTACTGAGTGGACACGCCTACCCTATGCTGTACTTCTGCTGATTCTGCTGGAGCTTTTACTGAATGAGTCACCAGTTCCCTTTTTAGTTGCGAGCAACCGGACAGTCCACTAAATTTCAAAAATCACAGGGAATATACACTTAATGCTAAACTGTGCTGAACGTACACAGCAATAGCTGTAAAATAACAAGCCTCTGGAAACATAACCACTCGAGAAATGTGACAGGAGAAGCACAGTCTCAGATTACTCAAGAATATTTCTCGCTCAGTGATTAAACAAGAGTGCCTGGGTTTTTACTCCAGACTATGACTCAAATTCCAAAAAGTCACAATTATGAAATGTGTGCATACCTCACCAACGTGTCATCAGGCCTAAGGAGGTTTTGGGAGAGCTTTGAGATCCCCAGTTTACAGACAGCTGGTGATGTCAAACACGCCTTCAAAGACATTTTTCCAAACCCCAGCCAGTTGTTACTAGCTGTTTAATAAGCATAGCTGGAGACATAGTTAAGAATTAGGCTAAACCAAGAAAAGGCAGCTAGTCTGGAATCAAAATAAAACCAGTGTAAGAATAACCCTCCTAATCTCACCAATCACCATCCTATCTCAAGGTTTCAGTAAGTGAATACAATGATCTACGAAGAAAAAAAAATAGATCAACAAATGCTTTCTAGGTATTTGCCAAGAATATAAAATTATGTTGCAGAAGTATGATCACACAATACCATTTAAGTATATTTTAAACAAATGCCTCCAGGTATGTTCTAGATGCAAGTTAGATACAGATGAGAAATACTTTTAGCTGAACTGGACTAGGTGTAAAATAAAATATGCACCCTTCTTGAAGTCCGAAACATTAGTACAACACTTGGAGTAACAGCATTTTTATAAGAGGCACATTCCCAAACTCTGAATGCAAGTACTGCTCAGGTGAATAAGCTGTATTTGTTCCCATATTTGACAAATTACACAGCAAGTCACAAAACGTAGGGTTGAACAAGTTGCTCAACTAGTGACAATGATAAAATTGGCCCTTACAGAATTCTGTTATCACTAAGCGGCAGAAGTGCTTGAATCACCTTTAACTTCTGCTTTGACATTATCACAGCACTGAACTGTGCTAACCCCTTATTTTTCATTCTGAGAGTAAACTGTACTGCAGGTTTTTATCGAATGAAAGTATGTTAAAACAAGCATTCACATTGTCTCCTCCTAAACAATGACTAGGTAAATTAAAAGTTCTCTGAAGTGAGTGAGCTCTTAAGTGAGACAGCAGGTGAAATATCTGCCTATTAAAAAGATGAGACAGTAACTTTTACTACTCAGATACAGATACCATCGGTACACCAACGTCTGACCTGATAATGGCTATATACTAAAACAAATCTTGCAAGTCAGTTAATCTAATTGCTTGAAAAGTTTGTAACTCAAATCTCTCACTTTCATATCCTTGAAAATAAAACCATTATAATACAAAGCTGTTAACTGTACTTGAAATCAAGTATGTTCTAGCTGGTCGTTTGGGGTTTTTTTTGTTGTTGTTTTGGGGATTTTCTTCCTTTTAACTGGACTTAAGAATTAATCACATTTGGTTCTTTTATTGAAGCGCCTTCTAAATGAACAGGCTGGTTTGCCCAACTTAGCACAAACATAATCAGAACTATGTGGAAAGCTTCTCTACTGATATAGAGAGCCAGCAACACTTCGGGTAAAACTAGTTTAATAAGAACACAACTCGGGAAACACAGTGCCAGAGGCTTCAGCGCAGAAAGAAATGGATCAGCATACAGCTTGCCATATGAAGAGCAAGCAAAGGAAGCCCAAGTGAATTCATCCCCTCCCAAACAGACCTGCCACGGTGTCCTAACGTGCTACGCTTTGGCCTGTGCTTTGACTGGACATCTGCGGAACTACCAAACCATCCTGGTACGTCCTGCTTCCTTCTTTTTGGCCTCTTAATCACGCACACACCCCCAGCTCCTGCGTAGTTATTAAAAGGTGCTAATGACTATGATGCTTCCTTCAAGCTAGCCTTCATCTCGGATTCCTCATGCAGCCGCGCACGGACATGCCGT